TGCTGGCAGCGACATCAGCAGCTCCCAGCCTGGGACACGCTCACCTGGAAGACGGAGGAGCCTGCGGGAAGGCCCTCGGCGATCTCAGCGGCGAAGGGCAGGTTTTGGAAAGTGGGGTCGTTATCGTTCAGGTCCAGCAGGTTGACGAAAACCGTGGCGCTGCTGGTAGCTCGCAGGGGTGGCCTCCCACCTGCAGAAGCCAGGAATGGAGTCTCAAGGTTAATGTCTGGAGCTGTTTCCACCCCTTTCCCCTAAAAAGGAGCCCTCACTCCCCATGAAGACAGTAGCGCAGGATGGGGCTGCCTCCTCAAGGCATTGACCTGTCCGTGTTACCCCTTGCATTGCAGCCTATCGGGCCAATGGCACAGTGCTCTGGCAGGGGAAAACTCTCCCTGGCAGCAGGCATGCAAGGCAGACCGATGGCTAACCGTGCATGCAGCTGAAAAACAAGAGCAACACCAGTCTGTGATTATCTGTCTTTCTGGCAGGACGGATGGGACGATGGCTATAGCAGAGTGCAGAGGTGATGCAAAAGTAGAAGAGGTTAGAGGTAAGGTTATACGTGCCTCCTGGCTCTTGGAAACAGGCTGGATAATAGAAAATTGTCTTCATATCTCTATCTTTTTTTTTTCTAAAAAATTTTCCCTAAGACACTATTTCCAGAGAAAATTACGTTCACCACTTGATCACGTCTTTCCCCCCGACCTGCTCAGTCGGCTTTCCTAGATACTGGGGGAGCCAGACTGACAAGAGGGGGAGTTTCTGCCTCCCAGGGTTATTGTCAGGGCTGCTACAGAAATGACTGTACTCTCATTTTGAAGGTTTCTGGTTTGTTTTAGCAGCAAGTTTTAACCTACTCTCATTTTTTAACTTGAAAAACATCTTTGTGACTCATGCTCAAAACAGGGAAAAAGAAAAAAGGAACTTCATCAGATGGGAAAAATCAGGCTGAGAAAAGTTCAACTCAGCATCTAAAAACGATCAGAGGGGGAAAGCAGAGGGTGAGGAGGGCAACGCTCGCACAACCCGAGCCCCAGCGATTTCTAGCCATGGTGGAGCAAGATAAACCACCGTGGCAAAGAGGACTGGAAGCAGAGCTTACAGTCAGTGACCGACACCACGATCCTCCGCATCAGCTGGGCTTCCTGGGCGTTGGGGTTCTCCCGGTCCAGGAGGACGCCGGTGGTGCGGATCTTGCCCGTGGTGCTGTTGAGGCTGTAGAACTTGTTGGGGGGTCGGATGCTGTACACCACCGTGCCGTTCTCCCCCAGGTCTGGGTCGATGGCCACCACCTGCCATGGAGAAACAGGAAAAATTAAAGCAGAGCGATGGGAATTAAGTCCCAGGGTGCATCTCCGTGTAGATTCACCAGTGTCTAACAAGGAGGCTGAGGTCCCATGATAGCCTTCCCCATACCAGCGGCAGAAAGAGGTTCTCCTTCCTCCACACAGCTGTATATTTTCATGATGCTTGCAGGGATTTTGTACCCTCGAGACCTCTACTGCGGTGTTAAATCTCACCGAAATTGGCCTGCAAGCCTGGGAGGTAATGGCGTGGCAAGAGAGACGTGAGCACGCAGCAATCAAACGGGTTTTTCTCCTTTTCAATAAAACCAGCTAGAAAACAAGGGCCCTTCAGAAAAACAAAATAAACGGGACAAAGAGGCACACTGAGGAACTTGTGCTGCTGCATCGGAAACGCTGGAAATAATTCACCGGTGGAGTTCTCCTCCACACCAGACATTTTGTGCTTTATTGTTCTCCCTGTGACATTTTTAATTACAGGGGACATTTACATTAAAAAAAAACCAACCCCAACTTCATTACACTCATAACTTCCCCGGCCCCCACTGCTTGTCCTGCAGCTGAATTTACATCGTATCGGTGACACAATAATTATTTTCCCAGCTACTAATTGGGATGTCAAAGGCAAGAGGACTTCAAGCAGGCACCGAGCAGCGGGGCTGGTGCTGCACGGAAGAGAGAAAACCGCCTTGCTCTTGGCTCGGGCTGCGCGGCCGGACCTTTCTTCCCCCCCCTCCCCAACTCCTTTTCTTTTGCAGCCGTCCTCCTTATGTGATTTTGTGGATTCTCTTCACTTTTCCCTCATTTATTTTCCGTTTCGTGCCCGTCATTTTTCTCCCGGCATGATGGAGTACAAACCTCCCTCTCTCCTTCTCTTTTATTTCACCAGAGGGATTTGAAAGGTTGTAAATCAATGTCTTTCAGAGAGGTCCTTGAAGGAGGTCGCAGGCGAGGCTAAGAAAAGGAGAATTTGGCCAAAACCCATGCAATTCGGGGAGGAAAAAAAAAAAAAAATCCCGGCAGAGGAGAAACACACTGGATGGGCAGCAGCGAGGAGGCTCAGGAGTAACCTTTTAAATGGACTTCTGCAAGATGGGGCTCCACTGGAGGTGCCACCGGTTCAGAGGTGACTCCCTGCTCCAGCTAAGCGGGTGACAACCTCACCGGGTGAAAGCAAGAGGCTTTTAGCACAACAGCCCCCTTCCCTCGCACGTACCGTGGTGACGTCTGAGTTGGGGGGGGTCATTTCCACCAGGTTAATGAAATACGGCTCATCTTTCCACGTGGGATAGTTGTCATTGATGTCCAGCAGCGTGATGTTCACCTGCGAGAGAGTAAGCAAGCAAGGCTACATCGGGTAGTATCGGTTCCCGGGACAGCACGCCGGGTCCCCTGGGTGTACGGCAGCATTGGGTACCCAACATTTATTCACGATCTGGAGGGAAAACCCACAGAAAAATAACCTCCTGCATCCTCTCAGCCAAGGCTCCTTGGCATATCCGACCTCGGTTTGGCTCACGCGTACTTATTATCCTGCGGTTAAAATAACGGCAGGGGCTCAAGGTGTGTTTTTAAGCAGCTACTTTACTTGGGGGGGAGGATGTAAACCAGTCACGGCAGTGGGAGAGAGGGCACAGCGGGAGTGTGGCAGCAAAGGAAGGAAAAAAAACCTGAGTGACTGGTAAAAAGCAAGAGGGGGAAAAAAAAAAAAAGGAATAAATGAGAAATCAGCAGAGGGTATGGTAACAAGGGATGGGAGGTGCAAAGACAAGAGAGCACGGGAGAGGATGGTGCCCTGAAGTGTTACCTATTTTCATTTTCAGCGTGAGAAACGGCATCTAAGTGAGAGTAGCGAGCCTGTGGGATGCATCCTGCTGTCGGGGAGTCTCTCGCCTCCCCTCATCACCAGTTTCAATCCGGTCTGTCAGTCTATAAAGGTGTCTGAGGGAAGAGCTGCAGTCCAGGGGAAGGGGGACAAAGGGACAGGAGGGGGGGGCTCGGCGGAGCCTCGCCTGGGGTCTCCTCTGCTCCCCAACCACGGGGTCCCGCAGCCACGCCAGGCTGAGCTGCTGGTGCCCCCCCGTGGTAAGAGAGGCAAACGTGGGCACCAAAGTCTCCAAGGATGTGGCCCCCGGCACAAGCCAAGGGACGGCGGTGGTCCTTGGGGTAGGTCGGTGACCCACCTCTACTCCGAGCACCCCAGGTGCTTGTCCATCACCTGGGGGACCTTGCAAAGCCCCTGAATGCACCCTTGATCAAAAATGGTTATAGGGAACAGCTTCAAGTCCCGGGTGTATATCCTTGCTAATGACAGCAGACAAATTCAATCGACCACCCACCCCTCACCGAGTTTTGATATTCTTTAACCTTTTAGGAATCACGATGCATTTTTCTTTTCCTAATCGCAATCTGTGCTGCAAAAACCTTGTTTTGCCTTCAATAAAGCTATTAGGAGCACACCATCTCATCCAAAGCCCCAAAGGGGAACCCAGCATCCGACGGGCCATGCGGTTGTCCGGTCAAAGCCATCATGTGCTTCTGGGAAGCTCCATAGGGAGCTTCTAGTCTGCTCCCTGGATCATACACCTCCTGATGGCCCTCAGCAGTGAGGGCAATTGTTTTAGGGATCTCCTCAGCACAACCACAATATTTCTCTGTATCACCCTCTGTCGCGTGGGACATCTCTCCTGCAACCCAACCGAGCGTCCCAGGAGCAAGAGCACCCAAATGTTATGAAATGTTCAAACCAACAGGGTGCCACGAGCAGCGAGAGATGGATCCTTGGCTTCTGACCTCCTGATATTTCCAAAGACTTTTACAAACCCTTTGCAAACAACAGGTCTCCCTGATGTCTGCAAAGGGCAAGGCAAAGCGGCAGGCTTTTATCTGCAGTACAATGCACCTCCACCAGAACTTTCTGAGGAGCCCAGGCATCACAAACCAGTTGGAAACCCTTGATCCAGGCAGTATATGAATAGTAATCATCAGGAACAACTAAGCGCGCCTGCAGGCTCTCCAACTACGCATTTTCTCAAGAGGCGTGAACAAAGGGAGTCGTGCTGCGGGTAGAATAGGTACCCGTTACCGCCGTTGCACGGAGAGCTGGACACGTAAAGCTCTGGAAGGTCAAGCAGCTCCTGGGTGAATGGCTTGCCAGGAAAGAGAGCCTGATTTCAAGGTCTACACGGTCCAGACAGTCATTCTGCAAGGGCTGCGAGCAGCAGTGGGGGCAGCTCAGAGGGCACACACGACCCTATGCTCCTTGCCCATTCATACAGCTAAAATTAGACACTGCTAGCACGGGGAACTGAAGCATTGGTGCCTGGGCAGCCTTTCTCCATGCCGGCACTGGGGGCTCGAGGAGATGGGAATCGCTCCTTCACACACTCACCATCGCAATGCCCGTCTTCTGGTGGTGGCCCACGCCTCCATCCACCGCCCGGACAATGAGGATGTATTCGGATTTGGCCTCCCGGTCCAGCAAAGATGTTGTTGTGATTTCTCCTGCAGCCACAGGAGATGAGAGGGATTAGAGATGTTGTACGGCAAATAGGGGCACCTATCGGGGACCCTCAAAACAAGAGACAGGATCCTTCATAAATGGGCCCTTTCTTCTTATTCAAACAGACGGACTCTGGAAGGCTCAGCTTGTCAGCAAGCTCCTGTAAACTTTGTGCTGTGTCTTCCCACGGGAGCCCATGTAACGACCGCCTGCAATCCCTTCTGTCCATTCCTGCCCGTAACGGACTGAAAAAGATGCCAGCACGGGAAGGCAGGCAGCATCTCCTCAGCTAACGTAAACCCTTCTAGCCAAAGCCTTTTCTCAGGCATCAGTCCCACCAGGAGCTGAGCTTCCACCGATGTTTCTGCCAAAGCCCCCACGGTGACCGAGCAAGTGCTGGTGGCTGAAATCTGGTGAATCCCTTAAATCGTGTTTTTCCTAAGGAGGCTGCTCGGGGGAGAGGAGGGGAGGGAAGGGCAGGGGAAGGAGTGAGGGTGAAAGAGGAAAAATGATGGGGAAGATAACCAGGGGAAATTCAGGAGAGGGAACTGAAAGGAAAAGAGGGAGAGCGTGTACGGAGGTTCACCTGAGCGAGCATTGATCCGAAAATGTGAGGAGCCCTCCAGGGAGTAGATGATTGACTCCTGCCCGTATTCCCTGGACCGATCCATGTCCGTGGCATTGAGAAACAGCACCGTGGCTCCTTGGGGGAAGCAGAATCGAGGGTTAGGATGAGGCATTTGCAGCCTGGAGCGGCTCTCCCCAGCTGCCCCGTCCCTCCACACCGCTCCCGTACCCACCTCAAATAGGTCACCTTGCCAAGGGGTCCTCTCACCTGCATGCACAGTGGGGCCAAACCCCCAGACCCCTCAATTATGAAACTCTGCCAAGTGTCTGGCTTTTGCGTCTCCAAAAAGCCACCAGCCACTCCATTCTGGCTGTAAGATCCCCAAGGCCTTTCTGCTAGCCTGAAGAAAGAGCAGGGCCATGCTCCCTACCTGCCATGATGTCCTCCATGACGGTTATAACGTAGGAGGGCTTGCTGAACGTGGGGGGGTTGTCATTTTCATCCTGAAGCAAAGAGAAGGTCGAGAGGCTGGTTGGGAAAAAGGCAAAACAGTCAAACAGCTGCAGAAGTCTGGTGCGGGGATGCCCCCGGTTGACTGCATCTCAAGATGTGACCAGCTCAAGGTATCAGCGTGGGGAAGGTGGCCTCAGGGGTAAGGCACCGGAGGTCTGAGTACACGGTTTCATGGCAGAGGCAGCTGAGATTAAGGTAAATTGATTGTCAGTGACTTTGCTGGGCCATACAGTGGGGACAACACTGACTCTTTCATTATCCAGCATCCTGGGCAATACGCAACAGGTCTGAGGAACCACTGTCGTTTGCAGCCGAGCATCCTCTGAGTTGCTCCTGCCTCCACCGCAAGCCCTGGGAAGGCTCAGACACCGCCGTGAAGCACAGCAGCATCGGGCACAGACCAGCTCCTCCCTCTTGGAGCAGCACACTGGTGGTGGCTTAGTGCTCCAGGTCATCCTGGCCACCAGATCACCAGGCAAACTGGACTGGCCAGGGGAGCTCCTGAGCTTTGGCTGCCTTTGTTTAAGTGAAGGAGTGCTGTGGGTGTTTGCAGAGAGAGCAGCTACAGCATTTTCCGAGGGGCGGGGAGGTGGTTTCATACCAACGTGCTCCCTCCAAGCCCATCTCTGCCAGCGACTACGGCCGGCCTCGTGAAACCAGGCAGGAGCAATTGCTTGAGACATCCCTCAAAACAGATTTCAGACCTGTTTAAATCTCCCCCAGCAGGGCTTTAAATGCTGTTTAAACAACGTTAAGAATCTGCCTTAAATGAACCAAACCTGACCGCCTACGGAGGGAACGATGGAGTCGCCAGGACATTAAAACATTTTCTACCTGGAGACCGCTGATGGACTTGCAGGCTCAGCTGCTCCTGCTGCCACCGAACTTGATATTTGAGGCAATTTCACGTGCCAGCGATGCCCATCGTACTGCAATTAAATTGCCATCCTCTGCTCTCATTGCTGGAAGCAGGTGGTCTTTAATCAGCCTTTGCATCACTCAGCTTTCACTGCGCCTCCTCTGAGGGTGATGAGGAAATTGCCGGCTGCCCGGGGTACTGTCCTCACCATCCCTCCTCCTCCTCCTCGCAGAGCCAGGTTGGGGTCATCACCCCAGGGCAAACCCACGAGATCTGGGCAGGTTAAAGGTAAAGGGAACGGCGAGACTGAGCATGCATCCACCGGCAGCCGGACCCAGGTGAGCTGTGCCACGGTCCGGGCTGGGTGGACGCAAGCCAGAGCAGATGCTGTGCCATTTTATCAGTGATCCTGAGTTCATCAGGCCATGCTCAGCACCGCCATGGCCCTGGGGGAGGCAGGGACTCGCTCCTGGCCAGCTCTCCATCTGGCCAGAGCTGGTGCGCACTTGCCTGCAGCGCGGCACATGGCTTTTCTACTCGAGAAGGACATTTCCCACTTCAGCAACGCGAACTCCCAAAGCTCCCCACCACAAAACCTTCCTGCCTGCCTCCTGCGGCACCCGCTGCCCGGCCAGGCGGGACCTGGCCCACTTCCTCCGCTCCCACAGGAGAGGGCATCCAACTAAACCACCTCGCTCATGATCCCACCTCGCTGGCTGCCACTAAACCAGCTTCCCACGGTTCCCCCGACCCTCAGCCTTCCTCCCTATGCCCTCACCCTCAGACAGCCGTCATATCATTTTCAGGGATGCTAAGAACGGCAGATGCTCACGCTAAGCACACAACCCCCTTTCCTCCAGACATACGCAAGCTATAAGTCCCTGGCTCCTCGCCCCGAACAGGGCATCAGCGGCAGGGAGCGAGGCAGAAACTTATTAGCAGTGATATTTCCCCGGATCCTGGCGTGGCACGCGCTATTAGTTCTGATTCGGCGGCTCTCTCTACAAAAGCGTATTGGCCCCTAATGGGAAATCTACAAGGCGAGTTTGACTTCTTTATTAAAAACCAACAACCAAAGGATGAAAAAAAATTACCTCCCTCCACACTTGCTCTTGTTCTGCCTTTTCACGGCTCTTGTTCCTCAAGTGCCGTAGTGAAATGCTTCCTCCTTGTTGTCTTCCTATTTTCTACTTTTTTTTTTCTCCCCTTCTTTTTCCAGTTGAGAGGAAAGCCCTTTGGTTGAGAGTGGGAAAAGTGACAGCTACTTAAAACCCACCAGCGTACAGACTCAGCTTGGAGGAGCTGACCCACTGAAGTGTGGTCTTTAGAAGGAGATGTTTATGCTGTCTAAAGCACAGCGTGGGAAGGATGTATTTAACCACCACTGACCCCCCGGCACTGCCTGATTCCCCCTCTCCCGAGCACGGTGAGGGAGCTGGAGGAGAGGGATGCTCATGGGACTTCATTCCCATCCTATGGCCCTGTGGACTTCGCCTTCTTCACCTTTGCAGACTGATGCTGCCACCAGCCTGGCTTAGATCCCATCACCGCCAGATTGACAGGTTATCAAGCAAACTGTCTACATCACCAATACCTCCCTCCAGACGTCCTCAAGCCACAATGTGCCTCAAAGTGACAATCCGATCTAATCTTCCCGAGGAACGCTGCGATGCTTTACCTCTTCCAGCAGCAAGCCCTCCTCAAGGGGGTTTGCACTTATGCTGCCTTGCGAGATGCATGGCAAAGCCCACAGCCTGGCTGGGACAGCTGGCATTGGGGAGATAAACAATCAACTGCCCTTGATTGATTCAGGGACGAATAATTTCTGACACTACAAGTGCTAACACACAGTCAAACTTGCTCTCCTGCATCCGAGCTGCAGCGAGCGCCTCTGGCTATGGGCACGGAGAGCATCCCAGCTGGGAGTTCCCTGCGAAAACGGCTCACCGGGTGCTCATTGAACCTCCCCAGTCGAAAACAAGGGCAGAGGGTAGATGTCCAGCTTGTCCCCAGCTCTGCTTCTCACCCTGTGGTTAACTGTGGCTCCTACCACATCAATTCCAGTGGCTTCCCCACGCATCATGCACGGTCGAGGAGAAGGAGGAGTTGCATGGGGTCAGGACAGCCCGTCTGCGCTTGTCTGCGGTGACACTCCCGCAGGGACACCCTCACTCACCCTCCAACGCTCAGACCTTACCAAATGGCAGGGACAGCATTTCTTTAACCAATGTGCGTGACACATATGTACATGAGACATATACGGCACGTATATACCTATATGAGACATATGTAATTGCAATCCACACATAGACATCCACAGGGCGGGACGGTCTTGCTGGGTTATCAATGGATTAACGGCACTGCTATGGAGCAATTGCAGGGAAACCACGACAGGGTCATCGGATGCCGTACTTACAAACACCTCGATGGTGACGGGGACGGTGCTGTTGAGTGGCGGGTTGCCGGCATCCTTGGCCATCACCATCAGGTAAATAACCCCGTTGGCTACCTGCTCGTAGTCGAGGGGGTGGTTCACGCTAATCACTGAAAGGATGCAAAATGGGATGGTCAGGGGGGCATTCATGCACAGAGCAGGATGGCAGCAGGCTCAGGGGTGGCAATGCCCCAAAACCATGAGTGCCGGGCATTATCAAGCTCCTTGCACCGGTATAACCCGGAGTGAGCCGTACGCCCACGGAAACTCGGCTCAGCAGCAGCTTGGCTCGAGCCTGGCTGCAAAGGACGGTGCTACAGGTGAGGTCAGGACAAGCAGAGGAGCTGCTGAAGCAGGTTCCTAAAGCTGGCCGACACGACTGCTTGCAGGGGTGTGAGTACAGTCTGAGCTGCTGCTCCTTGTCAGGGGCATCGCGCTCCTGGGACCAGCACTTACCTCCGTACCCTTCCGACACCGCGATGTCAAAGTAGTCACGGAAGGCAGACGCGTGCACGATGCTGTAGGTGATCTGGTTGTTTGGAGGGGAGTCCTCATCAGATGCCTAGGGCGTGAGCAGAGAGAGCAAATGAGGACGGGAGCTGTGCCGCCGACGTGCGACGTGCAACGTGCTAGAGCCGAGGGGACGGGAGGTGCAGGCTGGGGGGGGGGGGGGGGGAAGACTCATCAGGGCCCCAAGGGGGCTTGTAAACCAGCCTCTCCTCCCATCCCACCTCCCAGGAAGGACTTGCCGGGTTCCTCTCTCCCTCCTCACCCAGCCTGGTCCCACGGAGGGAAAGTTGTGCTCTCGCATCACAGCACATTTATTCTTGTGCTGAAAGAGCAAACAATCTTCCCTGCCTGCCTGCCTTCCACAGAAGAGGTTTACAGCTCCATCAACAAGCAGAACACCTTCCCCTCCGTGCCTGCTGCCTTTATTGAGCAGAGCAAAGCAATACAAAAGCAGCGCCTGTGCCCTGGGAGAAGCCCCAGGTCCTGGGGATGCCGTATAGGCACGGGACTTGGAGGAGGAGGAGGAGGGAGGCAGCCCACGGCTGCAGCACCACACCCAGCTGCACTTCGCAGTAAAGCCCAAAGGATTTTTCATCAGGAGGGATGTGGGAGGGAGAGCAGCAGGGGTGGACAGGGACCTAACCTGCTCCCGCCTCCCCACCATGCATCCCGAGCAGAGGAGTTGTTCCGGTCCCTCACCCGGAGCCGGACCACCTGGGTGACTGAGGGCTCGTTTTCCCGCAGGGCCCCCAGGTATGCCTCCTTCTGGAAGGTGGGGATGTTGTCATTGACATCGAGGACATTGATCCGGACGCGCCCTGTCGTCTCCTCCCCACCGCCGTCCCGGGCGATGACGGTCAGGGTATAGCGCTGCATGGTCTCGAAGTCCAGCCGAGCCGTCAGGAGGATTACACCCGTGTCCTTGTCCAGCGAGAAACTGAGGGGACAGGAAAGGAGGGGGAAAGCCCCGGTGACCACACACTGGAGATGGAGAGATGGGATGGTAGCAGCCTGACAGCTAGCAACGTGGTGGGTGAGGTTCATGGCTTTCTTCTGAGGGATGTTAGGTTCCAGAGCATCTTCAAGAGCTCGACGCAGGTGGTGGGGTAGAAACCCTCAGTGCTGCTCTGCAGGCAGAGAAAGCGGGCTCAGAGGCCCCCAAATCCCTTCTGCTGGGCAGCCCACATGCCTCCCCCAACCGCCCACCATGACTAGGTCGCACACAATGCTCCAGGGTCAACAACTCGCTGATAAATGCATTTATCGGTCCCAAGCAATGCTGGTGCCTGTAGGTCCCAATTTAGCAAAGCAATTAAACGTGCTGAGCTTTGGGCATGTGCTGAAGCTAACTCACCCCTTTGGGAGACAGCACAGTGGGGTTTTCATAGGGTGTCTGTCTCGCAGGTAGGACATAACAAATACCCTTAATTGCCATGTGGCTTCTTAGCGAGGTTAGAAGAGGATTTCAAAGAATCAAAGCCATGCCGGTGGTTCAGTCACACTTACCGGTCAGGGTCATCGCTGAAAAAATAACTGACTTTCCCATATGTGCCCACATCATTGTCAGTTGCCTGAAAAAATAAAAGTCAGTCCATCAATGAAGGTATTTATGGGAAGGTTGCACTACAGACGCTAGTGAATCCATTACACGCTCTTTACCTCCTCCGACGCGGGTGCCCGGAGGCTAGCACCAGCGCAGCCCTTGCGTGCTGCCGGTTATCACCCGAGAGCCGCGGGGCTGGGGCCGTCTCTGCTCGCCTGGGTTACCCTGCGCGGCCCCGACTTGCGGTCTGCTCTACCTAACAGCCCTCCATCACCAACTCTCAGCATCGCTCACAAAACCTTTGGCACTGGGAAATTTGATGCCTACTTACTTACCCTGACACACTAAGCTAATCTGGGAAGCGCACGTGAAATAAAGTTCTCCATGGACAATTCTTGCGGGCGATCCATCCTGGCCGTGTGAAGTCAAAGAGTTGGGACCCCGCATCCACAGCTCTTGCCAGTCCCTGTGCATTCAGGGCTGGCAGCATGCCTGGGGCGGTGGGGAGAGCCATGAAAACCCATCCTGCTTCCAAACTCCCCTTCCCGGGCTAAAATACAGACCAGGAAAAGCAAGGAAAGGGATTTAGACCTTGCCTTCCACGAGTAGCTCCCGCCGGACAGCCTTTTTGGGGATGCAGTCTGCTGCAACCTCACCGATGGCCCGATGCCTCTCGGGACGTTGCGGTGCCGGCTCTCGGCCAAGCCGTTGCCGGCGGCAGTACCGGCCGCACAAACCCCGCTGTCGGCTGCCGAAGCTGGAACCGGCTGGTCACGGCTAAACAACCAGCACCTTCTGGGAAGGTGTGCGAAACTCAGTCTGTCAGCTCTGGATGAGCAAGGCAAGATTTATGTACATTTTAAAGTCTTTTCTCTAATGAATATATAAAATATGCATGAGCAGCGGCAGGGAAAAGGACCAGAAAATTTTATTTTTAGGTGAGGAAAGCGGAATACAAGCCCCCAAATATCCTTTTTCACCCCTAGTATATTTTCTAAATTGAGTCCTGCCTGGATTACTTAGACACCAACAGGTCTGTGAAAAAGCAGGGTCAAAGACACATTTTATGTCCAGATACCATCAAAAGGCTGTATTTTAGGACTGGCGTGGAACACAACCCGTTCCCGAAACCTTCCTGATTTATCGATGGCCTTGATTACCCTTGACAGCGGAGTAGGAGCTTGAGCACATCAAACTGCTTTACCCCTGCACACTGTTTACCTGCCACACCGCAGGGTGGCAGAGAGCAAAAGGCATGAAAACTAGCCAGAATTAATTCATTTTTTTCTCCCCAAATGCTTCCCTAGCTCAGGTGGTAAATTCCTG